CCATAACATCGGGAGACTGGATGAGGCCTTTGTATATCAATATATTTTTAATAGAATAACTAGCATAACTATGAAATATAATATGTATATACTTTTTTTTTTTTTTTACACCTTATCCTGAGATAGACAGTACTGAGAGAGCAATTGTTCAGCAGTATTTGTGTGCTAGAATGGAAAACTGTCACAAAATGTTTAAAAACAACAACAACAATAACACCACCACCACAAGACTGTTTTGCAGTACTTCCTGTATGCTTACACATACAGTCGTGACCAGAAATGCTGGCACCTTTGCAGTTTTTCTTCCAAATTACTTTCAAATTACTTTAAAATAATTTGATTCACTCAAATTTTTTTTTTTTTAATTGTCAAAAGTAGGTTTCCACAATTCTTCACTTCACTAATAATATTACAGTATTTTTTTCCAGAACATGGTATATCCAAAAAAAAAGTAACAACAAAATGATTTTGTTGTTATTGTTAGAACACCCTCTGGAAAGAATAGCTGAAGTCAAGCACTTCCTATAGCTATAAATGAGCTTCTTGCACACTTCTTTTGCAGTCTGAGGTCTCCAAGATTTGACGGGTGCCCTCTCCCTACTGCTGCTTTGAGATCTCTCCACAGGTATTAGATTGGACTGAGATCTGGATTCACTGATGGCCACTTCAGAACAGTCCAAAACTCGGCCCTACACTGTACTCCAAAATTCATGAACGTGTGCAGGGCATCATGAAATCCAATTGCTACCAAAGAATTCTGGAGTGCAACATTGAGTGTGTTTACATGCACTTAATGATCCGATAACTGCAGAAAATCAGATTTTGTCAGTGATCCAATCAACACATTCACATGCACTTGAGTGATCAGATAATGTGGAAACTCCAGGTCTACATGAGTCAGACAGTAATCAGATTTCTGCTTTACTACCAGCCAATAAACTCACAGAAGACGACGTGACGGAAATGTAAAATAAAACTTCAACTTCATGCTTCGCGCCACTTTACCTGAAAATATGAACATACATCATCTGGAAGATGACGAATATTTAAATCCTTCATTTCGTGTTTGGGTTCAGCTCCGCTCCAAAGGTGCTTTGCTGCATCTCGCGGCGACGCTGCTGGTACCGCTGTCTGTTCCTGCGCATGCGCAGACTGAGAAATCCGAAAGAAATCAGAGTAAGAGTTCACATGTACTGAGAAATCCCATTATTGAGCTAAAGTCTGGCTCTCTTTATCAGATTTCTTAAACGGATTTCTAGATTGGAGTATGGCGTTGACATGACCATTTGAATAATCGGATAACTGCAGAAATCTGATTCTGAGCGGATTATTGAGTGCACGTAAACCCACTCATAGTAAGCTCAGTGCCCTTTGTAGGTCATGGGTCAGCTCAGAAATGGTTTAAGACACCCGGTGCTAAAAGCAGCGAAGTAACCCAACACATCTGTGAACCTCATCCATGTTTGATTGTAGGGACCGTAGGGACTGTAGGGACGTTCTCCCAGAAGGATTTTGGCAAAATCCCTGCCTCCATTTGGCAAAATCGTTTTTGCAAATCCCTGCCTGCATTTTCATTCTGCATCAGCAGAGTCCCCTTTCATTCAGTTGACGATGGATGGTGCGAGTGAACACTGTTGTACCTTGTTTCTGCAGCTCAGCTTGAATTTTTTTGGAAGATGATCAAGACTCTTTCAGCACCATTCAAACACTCCTCCACTGCAATCTTTCATAAACTTAGCTACAGTGCCACGGGCTGCAAACTTACTGATGATGATGTTGTGTACAGCGGACGCAAGCAGATTAAGATCTCGGGGGACGAACTTGTAGACTCGGAATTGCTCATGCTGTTCTACAGTTTTCTCAAATCCTCGGACAAGTCTTTCCTCTTGTTTTGTTGTTTCACCAGTGTTGTAGAAATACACAGAACAAAGGCTGACTCAACTCTACACTGTTTAAATGAATGATTTCTGTATCACCAACATCGGTAACTTGTCCAAATTATGTTGGTTACAAATAAAGGAAAGTTTACCTGCTTGAAATCCAATTATCTCTTACAACTTCTAAATAGTGCCAGCAATACTGTCCAGAACATTTTCAGAGTTCTGTGTGGAATAAGATCAGATTCTGCCTTTTTCTAAGCTTTTGTGTTGTTCCAATGCAAACAAAGGAAATACCACGACGGCGTTTTAGGGCCACTGTTAATAAAAATAAAAACAGTAGACTTTGAGAATAAAGTAGTAATATTTCAAGAAAAAAGTTGTAATATTTGGAGGATAAAGTGGGCTAACTGTGGGGGGCTGCCATAACGTGTTGGGGTCTCAGTTACTGTACTGGCACTGGAGTTGCACTCACTCCTGTCTCTCTGTGGATTATTTTGAGAAAGTTTCCTCCGAGTCCGTCTGGCTCTTTATTCTAGATAAACACAGTTTCCTGCTCAGTCGTTTCAGCCGTTTCTTATACTAATAACAGGCTGGTGCTGATGTGCAGGAGAGACAGGGAGACTGAGTGTTTCTTTATGGGTGAAATCGATATGACAGTATAACTCAGTGCTGCCTTCCCTTCACAAATCCTTTGGCCACAATATTGCGACCTTTCCCGGTAGTAATGTCACTTTAATATCGTAATTCTACGACTTTTTCTCGAAATAGTACAACTTTTTCTCGAATTAGTATGACTTTTTTCTCAAAATATTACGACTTTATTCTCGAAATCTACTATTTTTTTTTCATTAACAGTGGCCCTAAAACACTGTCGTAAAATACACGTGAATAACAAAGCCTTTTAATTTCAGTTATGTTCTGGAAGAAGTGGTGCAAACTGACTGTATAATCGTCCATACCCAAACTGTGGAAGGGATGTCGCCTCTATTTCCTCTTGGTAGCAAAATGTTCTCCTTGCAAACAGAAGCTCAAGTGTCAGTAATTAAACGTGCTTCAGAGGGGGCGTTCGGGAGGGAAGTAATGAATGTTTTAGAGCAGTTCAGAGGCCAAAGCCTTACTCAACATAACAAGAAAGGCAAGTCAGAGCTTTGTTTGAGTCTAGCTGGCACTGCAGGTATTGTGTGTGAGATGTAAGCAGAGAGAAGAATGATACAAACTGATGACAATGCTGTCTAAAGTGAAATTCCTCTCAATCAATTTGTCACTATGATGTAATTGTGAATGAACTGATCTCATTGAGTTAGAACAGAGGCTAATTTATTTATGTTCTTCATTGAGAGATTTAGCACAGGGGTTGAATTGTTATTAAAATATGTATTTTTATTTTATCATCTCAATTCCAGAGATATGTAGATATACGCAGGGCCTTATTTATTTCAATAAAATTTTAATGCAAATTGCTGCTTAAAATCACAGTATGGTGGATTGACACCAGTCAGTTAGAGTTAGTCTGTTAGTTATTTGTAATTTGTAAAGTATTATAATTGCAGACAGGACTTTTGTTTATTTCTGTAGGGATGCAGTACTTACATATACATATACATATGGAAATACACACACACATACATACATATATATATATATATATATATAGATATAGATATAGATATATAGATATATTTATACACACGAGTGGATCAGACACAGCAGTGCTGCTGGAGTTTTTAAACACTGTGTCCACTCACTGTCCACTCTATTAGACACTCCTACCTTGTCGGTCCACCTTGTAGATGTAAAGTCAGAGACGATAGCTCATCTGCTGCTGCACAGTTTGTGTTTGTCATCCTCTAGTCCTTCATCAGTGGTCACAGGACGCTGCCCACAGGACGCTGCCCACAGGACGCTGCCCACAGGACGCTGTTGGCTGGATATTTTTGGTTGGTGGACTATTCTCAGTCCAGCTGTGACACTGAGGTATTTAAAAACTCCAGCAGCACTGCTGTGTCTGATTCACTCAGACCAGCACAACACACACTAACACACCACCACCACGTCCGTGTTACTGCAGTGCTGAGAATAATCCACCACCCAAATAGTACCTGCTCTGTGAGGGTCCATGGGGGTCCTGACCACTGAAGAACAGGGTAAAAGGGGGCTAACAAAGTATCAGAGAAACAGATGGACTACAGTCTGTAACTGTAGAACTACAAAGTGCACCTATATAGTAAGTGGATACACACACACACACACGGTATAGATATCCTTGTTTGCACTGACATCGATAGGTAAAGCAGGCAAGTGCATCAGAACACAGTGTAATCTACTGTTATGCTTTGTAGCAAAACAACTGCTGCTGAATTTGGCATCAGCTTAATAACAACTAGCGACTATAACTTTGTGAATTGTTTACTTTTTTGTCCCTTTTGCACCAGATTTACTAGACAACATTTACACTATAATTTTATGATTATTTTTAAATTTTCTATAATGTTACACTTTTATAATTTTTTTTTTACTTTTATTTAACTAAATCACAGCATTTTTCATGATTAAACTTCTCCTATGTTATTAAAATCCTATCAACCAAGTCAGAGAGTCATATATGACCTATATCTGAACCTACTGAAGCATACAGGTCAAAGAGGATGTGGGATGCCACCGTTTTGAATCTGGAGTGAATTCAAGGACAGTAGGTAGTTAATCCCTAGTTTCCAGCTGGCGCTGGAATGCTATTATTCCTCCCTGGAAATGTTCTTCATTATGGCCGATGACATGGCTGATCGATCTGCCCTCCGCTAAGCTGCATGATTAAAAGAGCTGCGAAACTAATTTGGCTTTACAACAAAACCCTCTAAATTAGGCCACTCTCCTACATACCCTTGATCTTCAAGGTTCATCCAAGGCTAATGGTTTCCCTGCTCTTCAAACCAAGAGAAAAGTGTTATCTGAAAGACCTTGCAAGTAGTCTTCCCCACATGAGAGGAGATGGATAGCTCAGCTAATTAACGACAATACCAGATATTTCTTTCTAATAAACAAGACTAATAATTACTTTCCAAGAAATTTCTCACCTCTGTGAACATGAATGCATGGACTCATGGAAGATAAGGAGGCCCTTACCGAGAGTGTCCTTGAGGTTTTTCACCAGAGAGCCTTTCTTCAGGCTGTTCTTGCGCTCCACATAGTTGGAAGGTACGTAGCCAGTCCTGTTGGATGCATTCCGGACCCTCCACCATGTTTTGGAGTCATCCAGGAGCCACAGCCGCTCATTCTTCCTGATGTCAAGTTCTTGGTCCTGCTGCGCAGTGTAGTCCCACTTGGCGATAACAATCACCTCTTCTGACATCTTTCATGGAGTCACTCTGAAATGGCAGCGAGAAACGTGGTTAGCTTGGGCGAGGATGTGAGACCTCTTATCAAGGGACGACACTACCAACTGCCCAGTGCTTCTGGACACAACATTAACCTCTTATTCTCCAGGGTATATTTTGGTTTGTCTGAATTTACACGACCAAATCGTAAGGCAAATTATTCAGTAACTGCATTAAATAAATTTTTTTTACTTTATTTATTTATTATTTTTTTTAAAAGCTCCGCTCAAATAAACATGTGTTTTATGATCACACATATTGCTATATGCTTACCATTTACTGCTGAAAGCCAAAAATCTTAGACGCTCTTTGTATTTTTTTTATAAAAAATAATGTTTACAGAGCAGATCACTGAAGAGACGCCATCTGTTTATAGTTTATAGCCCAGATTTGTGGAAAAATGGGTCGACTTTCAGTAGAAAAAAACATTGAGGGTTCAGCTTCTTCTATTATAAGGGTTTAAAATTACATCACCCATCTATTTGACTGGAAAGAAGACAGTTACAGCTCTCATATGACTCCCACCTTCTGAATGTAGCTTATGAAATATTAAAGTTATGAAGAATATGACGAAGTGCGTTTTGGAACCGGTGGTCTCAAGGAGTTGAAGAGGTTAAACATTTTAGACACTAAAAATGCAGAGCCTGTGGATTTTTCTTTGCAAAAGTACAGAAATATTCACTATTAACAGCAAAACAACCACTTTTCACCCACAAAAGAGCCAGAGCCTGTTTGGACACAGAACTAAGTGCATCAAATCCAACAACTTCTTTCTAGGTCTCCAAGTGTTTCTTCGAAGCCTGCCGCAACTGCCGAGTTATCAAAATATGGCTTTATGGCCCATGCTAACAATAAGTTAAAAAAAAAAAGTTTGGAGAAAAAGAAACTTGTATGGCTAGTTTTAGAAGAAGGATGTGATGTTCTGTCCAGCATGTCAGTTTCGTTACCAGGAACAACCCGTTTTACTAAAACATAATATTGAAAATGGCTGCAGCTTTCAAAGGAGCACTGTTTACAGCATAATGATGTCCAGCGATCCCAACAACAACGGAATAACAATTTAATCAAACCCTGATGTAGACGTATGTGGGTCAGCGGGATCAAATGATAAAAACCTTCACCCTGGCTGACCATCATGAAAAACATGGATCTGACCTCATGGAGTGGGCATGGGGGGCTCACAGCATGCTTGTTAATTGTAAATACAATGTACATTCGCAATAAACAACGTGTTTCTAGAGGTCTGACCACACATTTTTAATTGCGGCCACAAGATTCACTGGCTTGGTGGCCCAAATGGCCTGAGCAATTTCGCAAATTTGACAACATTCTCACTAAATAAAAAACGTTTTATCTAGAAAGTTAACAGTACAAAACTGCGGACCAAAGCAGTCATGCTCTGCTACCATGTACCTCCATTCTAGGCTTTAAATTAAGCACAGAGGAGCACCAGCAAACCACCTGCTGACCACCTGAGCTTTTGAGCTAGATCCCATGCAGGCGGATGTTCAAAAGGTACACAGATGTTGGGTCGGGTGCCCACTGCTTGCCAGCCTTCTAGACCGTTTCAGCCTCCTAGACCGTTTTGACCACCACTGAACTTCATGCTGTACAACGCTGTGCAAACCTCACCTGCACGAACTGACCCTCCTGATGCTGCTGCATAAACTCAAACCATCTAATTAACCGTTGCTCCACCTGTTTTTCCCCGTTTTGTATTCTAATATTTTATACTAATGCTGTTTGCTATCCGGTGTCGACCAGAGGAGGATGGGTTCCCCTTTTGAGTCTTGGTTCCTCTCAAGGTTTCTTCCTCTTGCCATTGCCGACGCTCATCGGGGCTCGGACCCGGATTTTTCTGTAAAGCTGCTTTGTGACAGCACCTGTTGTAAAAAGCGCTATATAAATAAACTTTGACTTGACTTAGCATCTGGCAGCGACGCAAGCCTGGGTAATCCCCTGTCAGTGGGCAAAGGCCACGGGTTCTGGCAATACATGATCCAGTCCTGAAAGTGACCTCTTTGTGACGAAGAAGTAACGTCTCCCAGTTGCACTGCGCCGTGGCTGCAACTCCACACAGCGACCCAACGGATTCCCTCAGCCACCATCAGCTTGTAAGGCTTTTGCCTTTTCCACTCATCTTAAATACCGTGAATTATTTAACAGTCGTGCTGTTTGCACACAGAGAGCGAGAGAGAGTGAAAGAGAGTGAGAGTGAGAGAGAAAGCAACAGCACTAGCATGAGTATGAAAAAGCTGGACTAAAACTAAAGCAAGGAATCAAACCACAGAGGGTCATATGGAAAACAGCAGACACAGAGGCCTGGGGAAAGACAAAGCCGCAGAATACAAACAGAACAAGGAGAATGAACAGATCAGAGAGAAAACTGCAGAAAGACCAAAAAAGAAGGCTTTGCCCTTGAGAAGAATAGGCTAATGTGCAAAAGGCTGGTTGCTGGAGAAGAGGCATCAATGCGTGATGGAGCAGTGACAGCCCACTTCCTGCCTCAGGGACTCTCAACCAAGTCACTGCCCAATTGCACTGACAGGCAGCATCTGTGCTGCGTGCGTACCAGACACCGAGCTGTAGTGACTACGGTGGCCACCACAGGGTCTCCCAGGGGACGAACATCACGCCAGTCATGATACTGCACACAAATGCTGGCCACTTCACAGCCCAACTGCCCCTTCGCTCTTTCCTGCAGCACGCCTCCTTTCTCGTTCCATTCACACCAGCCAGCTACATCAACGGTGTCGGCATAGTGGATAAAGTGTCCATCACTGGGAAGAAGGTCAGCGTGTGACAAATGTAATGGTGGTAATAACATGACGTAATTCTTGAAGATTCTTGAGGAACTGGCACCCTCATAAAACACTGCTGGCTGTGTCAAATAATGGTAGCTTTGCTTACACATGCAGTGTGTCCCAATTCAGGGGCTGCATCCTTTGAAGGACGAGGTTTTTGAAGGCTGTGTAGACCCATGAAGGCTGAACCGAAATGAGACAGTCTGCTCTACGACGGATTCTCTGTTTGCGTCACAGCACCGATGTTCCCGTCCTACTGTTGCATCACGAAACGCCGCTCCTGTCAAGTTCTTTTAAAGTTCTTTAAAGATGGAGCCAGAAACATTTGCATTGTTAGCTACTCCCAACAGTTTAAACCCAATACTTCTAATAAAAGTGTCTCCTCAGCGGCCGTTCGCTCCTCTACTGACGCCGCCATGTTCTCGAATCCTCGCCGGCACACAATGAACCTCGGGATATGCTGGCTGCCGAAGGATCCACCCGCATATGAAGGAGTCTTTGAAATGGGACAGCCTAGTTGCGCCGCTGTGACGCAATCGGCCTTAAAATGCAGCCCCCGAAAGGCGCAGCCCCTGAACTGGGACACAGCTATGGACTTCGCAGTCATTGTGAAGTGCTGATAGTTTTCCCCGTACCCTAAATGTAGTCGATCTGCTAAGATGGTGTCTGAAGCTTGATTCTTAGTTTTTCGGAAGATTGCAATGGAAGATTATACCCAACAGGTAGCGTCAAATAAACCAAATGTCTTATTCTCACTGCCTCTCATAGGTTGGTGTTGAGTAATGCTCTTTCAAACACAGGCTACATGCACACTACAAGCCTCATTGCTCAAATCCGATCTTTCTGACACGATGGCTCACAATCGTTTAGGTAAGTGATTCAAATCGGTCATTAATGTGACGAACCGGCGTCCTGAAATGACCCGCATGAGCACATCCTACTCAGTAACGTCACGTGAATGAATCACGTTCATCATCAGCACAAACTAACGAGCAGAACGAGCTTCGCTGAGAAGATCATTAACTCTGATCAGCTCTCAGCTTCATTATTAGAGCGAGACGAAGGAGAAAAAGGTGAGATGAGCTGCTTTTCCACCTTTACAGGCTTTAACTTCCGTTCGGCGCTGCTGCCATGGTAACGCTGAATGATGGCGCAGCGCAGTGGAAAAAAAGCACATGAATTCCGATCTGAGCGTCACATTAAGGTCGCACGGCCACGAATTGGATACGTATCCGATCTAGGACCACATATGAAAGTGGCTCAGGTCAGATTTGAAAAGATCAGATTTGCATGTCCACATAGCCCTGAAAACATCAGATCTGGGTCACGTTAGGGCAAAAAATCAGATTTGTGCCACTTCAACCTGGTAGCCATAAAACACCTACCCTGTCTTCTAAATCATACTGTTACAAAGCTCAGCAGGGCCACAAGATGTTTTCTGCAGAAACAACAAACAAAGCAACGCATAAACAACTTCAACATGGTAGTCCAAGTACAATTATAGCGGCAGACTGATCCAACAAGAACTTTGCATGGCTGTTCAAATTTCTTCTCTTCTAATGATGAAAGATATGTTAATTAGTTTGGGTTAATTAGTAATCAAACCTGATATTACTGAGCAAACAGAAGCAGCCCAGTTATCAGACACGTCAGACATGCAGGACCATAAAGCATGTTCATCACTCGTCAAACAGCAGTAAACATGCGCACAGGACGTCAGCGTTTTCAAAAGCCTTCATACACACGAAAACACAAATTTGAAGTTTTTAAAATCTGCACCCTGGCAAGCATTTTTCAAAAGGTCTGTTTTCAGTGCCCTAAAACACTGTTTTCTTGTGTGCGGGAACCCAAAATGCAGAGTAAAACGCAGGTCTGTGTGCATTAGTGCGCTAGCAAGAAATAAATATAGTTTAGCTGTGCTGTTTAGCCAAAAATGCAGCTTATCTCTTCAGCCAAAGGTGTTAATTTAGCTAAATTAAACCGGAGCAGACAATGACATGCTGTTTTTAACTTGACTACAGTATCAGCACAGTTTACTTACAAAGCTGAGCTTCTGCAGTGAATGACAGTTATGCTGCCATCAAAACTGAGCTCAGTTTTACACATTACAGAAAATCATCCTTTTAGATCAAGTTATACTCATATTTTTTGCTTTTTCTTTAACCATAATCCTGTATTGTGGCCTCT